TTTGGGTTAGAGTGTTAGACTTTACTTGGAGGGGATTCTGTATCTAGTCCTTTAACCAACTCTGGATTTTTATATACTCCCTCCGTTTGGATTTGAATGTCCACTTTCTTGTTTTTATTTGTACGGAATTAGTTGTGCATCGATCTTCAATAAAAAAATTATGGCGAGCTGTCCACAATATCCCAGAAATAGGGTTTGAAAAATGATTATTGTTCACATGAATGAGTTACAAACTCATTTGTAGGACTCATCTCAGAATTTTAACTTCTTAAAAATGAGATTTTTTAGTAAGTGGACAACTAAATCCGTCTCATCTGGGCTGAGGGAGTATGTACATACATTGCTATCAGCCCTTCCTAATGGCTCGAGTCAGGAATGGTGGACAATCAACTGTCAAATTGCTTTTTAAAAAGCAACCAACAATGGACTGTGTGCCCCTAATCAAAGTCGTCAGGAAAAACTAATAAGAATATACTTATTAGAGCTGTGTGTGTGCGCGCGTTTGTGTGGGTGTTGAAGTGTCGTAATATCGACAATTATTTACCTTATCTTATTTATTATCTTGTGTTATCAAAACATCTTTTCCATATGGTTGTTACTCATCTGCCCTAAAACCATATGTTATAGGCTGCTTGTGCTGATTCGGCGTTCCATTTTTTGATGATCTCTACATAGGTTTGTCAAAAAGAAATTTGAAGAGTCATATTTCCAGAACACCGCCCCTGATTGCGTTGACCGGGTATTTAAGATCTATAGAACCACAGCGCTTGACCAGAAGCTTGTAAAGAAGACTTTCAAACTGGTAGATGAGACTTTGAAGAGGAGAAACCTGCTGGAAGCAGGTTTGTTGTGATACACATACAGCTATATAACGGATGATTACGTTGATGGATGCACGATGTTTTGGATCGAAATTCGCTCTTGCCATTTGATATAGCTTGAAAGTTTTGTCCGGTGTGTACCATATTATCAAAGAGGTTTATTCTTTCTCTTAACCTACATTTCTCAATCTCTTAACATGTCCATGGGAGTTTCATACCAGAAGGAATTGAACAAATTGGCTATCGTTTCACTTGATTGTTCATTGCTGTAACTGTATTAATAACATGTTCATTGAAAGAGTGAGTTGTATATGAACCGCTTTGGCTATACATCGGTGTACCTTCAAATTACTTCCATTGCACATTTTCTTGAAAATTTTGATTCCAACAATCCTACCCTGTGCTATCTGCCTCCATACTGCTAAAATTGTTTAAAATTATCTTTAAAACATATTTTAATAATCAATTTTTAAATCTTAATAATTAAAAATATTTTTAAAAAATGAAAAATACGGGTGGAGGTGGATGGAAATAATTTTCTTTGGAAATTATTTTTCCATAGAAAATATTGTCTTGAAAGATATTTTTCACCCAGCCAAAAACATTATAAGAAAAAGCATCCCCAAACCTTGGTCGATCTCTGAGTGAGGAGTTTGCCCCACGCATGGCAAGCATTTCTATAACACTATGTTTGGTTCAAGAAAATATTGTCTTGAAAGATATTTTCCACTTCACATTAGAAGAAAAAGCATCCCCAAACATTGGTCGATCTCCGAGTGAAGAGTTTTCCCCACGCATGGCAACCATTTCTCTAACACTATGTTTGGTTCAAGATATTTAAAATGGAAAAGAAAGAAAAATGAGAAAAAAACAAATTTTTATGTTTGGATAGAGAAAAAAAGAAAAGAAAAGTCGAAGGAAAATGAAATGAGAAGACAAAAAATACTAAGAGGATGGAAAATCAAATTTTTCCCATTTTGGCGAGGGAAATAAGAGAAAATTGTTTTTTTCCCTTCCAAATTCCTTGAACTGAACATAGCGTATGGGTTTTTGTATCTATGTTTTCAAAATGCACTGCTCACGTTTTACTTTTATTTTATCAAATTACTAACGAAAATAGAGAAAGAAAGTAAATTAAGTTTGACCAAAATTTAATTTTTGACATTTCTAGATGCTTTTACTCTTATTTTAATTTTTCTCCCATTTTAATGCGTTCAACACTTAAAAATTAATTTTAGAAGGCTGGTTTTAAATTTTTGACCCAATCGAATACAAATCTGATCACAGCAGCACAATTGAGTTTTATTTATAAAATAAGCTATTTTAAATAATTATAATGAGTCCCTTGTATTTGGAAATTTTTACATGAGCTAGTGCTCCAAGAAATACACAATTTTACACCAATATACTTCGAAACTCAATTAATGCATCAATGTTTCAAGAAATTATACTCCGTACTTTTTATACTGTTATTTGTTGCTGCCAACTCAGCCCACTACGTGATATACTACCTCCGTCCCACTGTCTTTGTCCACATTTAACTTTTGGAACTATTCATCTAAACACTTTGACTCATCAAATTCTCTCAATGTGTAAGTCTAAAAATAGTATGTGTGATCTTGTTTGATTCGTCTTAACATATAGATTATTAATATATAATTTCTATAATTTTTTAATATACAAATTACAAGATAAAATGGATTAAAGAAGTGCATTGGATGGTGTGTCAAAAGGTAAGTGGACAAAGACAGTGGGATGGAGGGAGTATTAACTATGAGTATAAGTTATGAGTTGACAACTAAAAAGATTTGGTAGAAGTTTCATTAGATGTACAGTAGCTTCCTGTATAAAGGTAATTTCTACAATTCATTTTTTCTAATTTTGTTTTTTCATATTATTATCCAATAGATTTACTACTAATGTTTTTTATACTTTTAAAATGGTCATAACTTTAAATTCATACTCAGATATTTTTATAATATATAATGTTAGATTTCTCTCAAAGAATATTTACCCTAGAATATTAGTTTCAAAATTCTCTAATTTTTTTGTATAAAAGACAATTCACAATCTATTTGATTAAAATATAAAAACATTTTAATTTTTTTAGTTTTACCACATTTCCTTTTTCCAATTTTAAACGGGTGCGGTGGAGGAGGGGGTGTTGTTATAACACACTTAGAGCACATTCTTTAGAATTGAATTCTTAACTTCCAGTTTCTTCCATTTCCTTCCAATTTCTTCCAGTTCCTTCCAGTTTTTTTCAATTTTTTTCCAGTTTCTTACAGTTCTTCCCGTTCCTTCCAGTTTTTTCCATTTCCTTCCACTATTTTTATTTTCTTCAAACTCTTTCTACATTTCGACAAATCACTCTAAAAAATATTATTATTATTATTATTATTATTATTACAACTATTATGTTAATAACTATAGTTTGTAAATTATTTCATTTTTTCATCTCGCTAATTGCTATTTTTATGGTTCACATTCATTATTATTTTTTCTTCAACTTTTTAATGTGAATAATACCATTTTTTTGTATGTTAATTTACATTATAAAATAGGAAAACATCGATATTTTAAACTATTTAAAAAAATTATGGATAAAATAGTTACATAGAATGTTTTTTAGTATTGTAAAAACTATACTTTGTATTTAGTATCTTCAATTAAGTTTAACTGCATAGTAGAATATTAACGACTATTTCATCTCTAAATAGCTGCATTGCATCTTTAGTTTCTTCATCACACATCACCTTGGGCCTATCTTCCGTTGTTTGCTGCCTCGGTGAAATTGGTATTCCTTTCCGATGAAGACGAATGAAATTGTGCAAAGTGCGTGTTGCAATAACAATTTGAATTTGGCGCTCCTGTTTCATTTATTTTTTGTGTGTATGAAAAATAACAATATTTTTTTATCTTAAAGACATTTATTAAGATAACGTGATGACAACAATAACAACAATAATTATGCTGATAATAATAATGATAGTAATTTATAACAAGAATTAGAATTAGAATAATATTAAAATACACAAAATAAATTTAATGTTTTTTTAGATTTTCTAATTTTTTCTAGTTTTTTCAGTTTTTTTTTTTAATTTTTTCCAATTTCTTCCAGTTCCTTCTAGTTTCTTATAGTTCTTTGCTGTTTCTTCCAGTTCTTCTAGTTTCTTCCAGCGACCAGCTCTTTTTTTCAATCTTAAAGAACACACTCTTAATATTTAAAAAGCTTAGTCGAGTTACTCAGTTTGCAGTGCCATGCAGTGCCAAAGTAATGGTAAAATGTAGAATTTCAAGAACCAAAAACAAAATTATTGATATTCTAGGGACAAAAAACAAATTCAACATTAACTCTATATTTTTTTTAAAAAAAAGTGAAAAGACTATTTGCAAAAACAAATATTTTACATGGATGACTCAGTAAAAAAATATCTTAGAAGGATGAAAAGCAAAATCACTTATTTTACAGAAACCAAAATCATACGGAGTATTTAATACTACCTCCATCCCATTTTAAATTGCTTGTTTGCCTTTTTTCTCCGTCCCAAAATATGTTGCCTGTTAGTTGTTTTCGTAAACTTTTAAGAGTAAAATACCTAAATTACCTCTAAAATAAGTTACTCTTCTCCACCTTATCTTCTCATTCATCGTCATCTTTCCTAAAAATTACTGACAATTTCGGAAAATCAACTCTATTTTTTCTTTTCCTTAAATATGCCCAAAAGTCAAAACAGACGATTTAAAACGGGACGGAGGGAGTATATCTTTTTATGATCATTGTTATCATATTTTACAAAAAATATTTTTCTTTTTCAAAACATTAGTCTTTTTGCATTAGCCTCTTTGGCAATTCGATGTTTTTCTATATTCTTTAATTAATGAAGAGATTCTTGTAATTCTTCAAAAGAAAAGAAAAGGAGTTGTTTCTTCGTTGGCATTTAAACGAATTGTGACGATTTTATCCATGCTTAGTCACTATTTCATGCCATGTATGCTCATTGCTTTTCTTATTTTTGTCACCCTAGGTGGGGCTGGGGTGGGGGTTTAGGAGAGGGTTAGGGGGTAGGAACCGTCATTTTTATAAACGAGGCACCGTAGGTACCCCAAACAAACTAGTGTAAGCAACTAGTGTATACGTAATTTCGGTGATGGCACTATAATAATAACAATAATACAGTGGTAAGTTAAATGCTTGAGTATATATATAGATCCCAGCATTCAATAATACAGAAAAAGGACTACACCAAACAGAATCCTAAGTGATGTTCATTTGAAACGTTTCCTGTCTACATAGCAAAATGGAAAGCCAAGCCACGCACTAGAATTGTGTCTAAAGAAAATGAACATATGATCTAGCTAGCTACTTTGTATCTTCTATAATAACAACTCCAAATCCATACAACCCTGTCTTCAATTTGTAGGGTACCCCAACCACTCTCTCTCTCTCTCTCTCTGTATATGCAGGCAGGCAGCCATTTAAGGCAACATCCCGATTCTATATATATATATATATATATATATATATATATATATATATATATATATATATATATATATATATATATATTCATCCTGATTCTCACTTCATTCGGCAGTGAGAGCAACAATAAGTTTATCGAATATAATACTGTAATGCACAATTTGTTCAGATGCTAAATCAAAGTAGAACGACGACAATAAAAAACACAAATTAATACGCACCTCTAATAAATTGTGACACTATAACAAGCCAACGTAACCAAGCGGGTTGTTAGTTATGGCTTCTGAAGCCGCCATACTTCCAAGCCCATAGTTGAAAGGCATAGAACGCTCCTCTAGCTCTGGAGATAGTGAACGCCATGCCAGATCCTTGTATAATGAACTCCTCCCGTTCTCACGCAACATTTCAAAATCTCCGGCACGAAGAACATCTTTTGTCGCACTATCGACAATATTTTGTGCATAACCTCCGGCACCAGCAAAACTGCCAGCCCCATAATCACCTGTTCCCCCATTCCTCACTCTTCCTTGGAGTGAGATAGCAGCAGAGGAACCCCAAGTTGTTCCAAGACCTCCTCCAAGGGCAGCATCCAATCCGGTACTATTCCCAGTTACTGATCCAACATATTCGGTCGCATTTCCAGGGTTCCTACTGTAGAACCCGTTCTCATTTTCCAACAAGCTCCGACCCGCTGACGTCAGCATAGAGCCACTTCCACCTATCCCCGAAGCACATCGAATTTGACCAATGTGCCGATTTGAAACCCCACTGTAAAAGGAGTCCATATCACATCCGAACCCCAGATTAGAACCCAAACCCCCACCGTAGTTTGAACTCATTGACGGGTCTAGACTTGGTCCAAAATTATAGCCAGATGGAGTAATTGACGAATAACCACTTCGCCCTGCACCAGTTGGACTACTTCTTTCCATTCTTACTCCTTGGCTTCCTATTGGACTCTGATTGTAACCTTGGGTGTATGCATTCAGAAAATTGCTCACTCTGTTCAAACCATATGTATATCCTCCCCCTAATGGACTTCTGGCTGGCCCTGGTGATAGCTCCTTGGGAACAGCACGCTTGACTTCAACCATTTTTCCATTAAGTTCATGAAATGTTTTGTGCAAAACATTATCCACAGCTTCCTCCGAGTCATAAGTTATGAACCCAAAACCTCTGGGCCGCTGTGTGTTATGGTCATACATCACCACAACATCAGTGATCGTTCCGAATTGATCAAAGTACTCCTTGAAGTCGCTTTCAGTAACGGAGGATGGCAAGCCACCTACAAAAATCTTTTTCGTGCGCATCGTACTTTGTGGAGACTGTATACTTCCATTGTTCCTACTTGAGTATTGATCCTCCCTAGGCACAGCCTTCTTTGCCTCCACCTACTCAAAAACGTAAAAGGATCAAACCAACCGAGGTCAGTATCACATTTGGAGGATAAAGAGGTAGAATATGAGTCACATTGCTTATATATCCTGGAGTTAATACAAAGTTAGATGTCACAACAGTAAGTCACAGATGTGAATTATTGCACAGATTTGAGTCGGTTACAACTGCAAAAGAAGGATAACATATGCTTGAAATGTAGATCACAAGTTGTAAGCAAAAGGGAACCCCAAAAAATAGAAAAAAGAAATCGTCCCATTACTCCCATACATTTCTTGCTTTCTTCTTGTTTAGACAATCTATCCCCAATCTTGTATGGTGATTATACAACTCCTGCCTCTGGAACATTGTGTTATTTACATATGAATCACAGCAAAACCATATACACCTTACACGTAACATTTCCTTTATGGTCAAGCACATTTTTTTTTCACATTGTTAAAATAAAGATGATATTATTAACTACACATTACTTATCACTTTCCAAATGTTTCAAGTGGAGCTATGTCTCCTTCAAGTACATTAGGGATTAAACAAATGCAAATCTTAAACAGTTAGAAACCAATGTGATAATTTTAATAGCAAAAATAACCACCTTGGACCTAAGTCCAGAGAATGTCTCATATGGAATAAAACTGGTAAAAATTTTGTACTATATGTGACTTACAGTTCTACCATCGATGGTGTGTTTTTCCTTGACAACTCTTTCTGCAACAGAAGGATCAGAAAAAACGACAAAACCAAAACCACGGGTGCGCCCTGTGGTCCGATCTTTCATGACAACTGCCTCAACCACATCCCCAAATGTTTGGAAATAAGCACTGAGACGTTGTTCAGTGGTGTCCCAAGATATGCCACCAACGAACAACTTTCCAGGCTCCATTTCCATCCTGCACAAAAGGATTCCCATCAGACAAAACACAATAAAAGGGATTCTCAGCAGATCTAGTTCACCAATAAAGAGCTAAAGAACCACTGACACACCAGACGCAATCAACAAGCAATAACAGAAAGGATCTACAAAGTGGCATAGAGTTTAGTGAACCACCAAAACTATGCAATCAGACCCAAACATGTCAAATGACCATATCACTGATGATCCTAACTCCTCCTCAAACAGAATAATCCAAAAGAAAATATCGAAATGAAAACATATTACGCAACAAGAACCACCTGGTTATATAAACTACCAAAAAGTTCAAATCTTTAAACAGTCAGACAAAAAATATGAGCAAATATATGATTATGACAGAAAACCCATCTGATCTTTGAAAGATCCGAAGCTGATCGATCAACACAATCCAGTATTCCAGAAGAAGCAAGAAAGCATCAAACTTTGAGAATAAGCAAAGAAGAATGGATCGCCCCGAGGAAGCAAAGTGATTGGATTTACCAAAAAAATAAAAGGTTGAGGCACCAAAACAGATTGAGAAAACTCGAGATCAGAAGAGAGGCATATATGAGGAGCAGAGGGGCTGGAGAGGCCCCCTGTATAGCTCTCTCTTCCTTTGAGTTCTCTTCAAAATCACCCTTTGACAGACCTGCTCAGGCATATATATATATATATATATATATATACACACACACACACACACACACGGAGTATATAGTGAGATCGAGAGACACGGAAAGCTAATAGAGAAGGTAAGAGAAAGGAGAAAATATATGGTGTGATGAAGAGATTTATTTACGTATCTGAAATGGGTGCTAAATGGAAGAGCTTTTGGTTATCCTCTCGTGTGAGAAATGTAGAGAGCCTTGACGATGGAAGGTGGTGGTGACTTACCATTGTCAAGTTTTTCTTCTTTCCACTCATTTGAATTTGGGTTAAAAATACTTATTAGAGCCGAAAGTCATCATCTCCGGACTCACAGGCTCATTAAATTATTATGCGCTCTAGTCCAATTTGCTACTCTGTAATTTGTATTCTCCTCCCCTTTTGATCTTAATTAGTATTGTGGTTTCATACAAAAGTTTTACATCTCTTTTTTTTGTGTTTCAAAAAAGAATCACTTTTGTTTTAGAAAAACAATTGTACTCCCTCTTCTCTTTTTCCCTAAATATTTGTCTACTTTTAATTTTTTCAGTTAAAATTGACAAATTTTGACCGTAAATTAAATAAAAATGATATCAGATATTATTATAGAAATAATTTTATTAAAATAATTTTATTAAGTGTTAAATATGTTAAGATTATATTCCATATTTAATATGATTATTATATATATGGTAGATTCCATAATTGTGTATGATTCCATTTAATGTAATTTCCTTATACTACACCTCCCCCAATTACCCCACCTACACCAATTACCCAACCCAACACCCTCCCTATTCTACCCAAAATCCCTCCTACTCGAATTACCCCAACCCCAGCTCCTACCCGCCAGCCCCCCAGCCCCCCACCCCCACAGCTCTGGCCCACCAATTTGATACAATGACTCTCCGTGAACCCACATGGCTCATGGACACCGGTGCCTCACACCACATTGCTTCAAACCCAGGTATTATTTCTCATGTTTATTCTTCACCTTTAAATTCACCACCTCTCATCACTGTAGGTAAC